ATATATAATAAAATAGTGCAGAATATTTTCACTTTTTGCCTAAAACTTTTCTATCCAACTGTAGAGAGCAGGTAGATTTGTAGTAGCTAATGAAGGGAAAAACAGAACAGTTTCCCAAAATGTTTTGCTCTTAAACTTGCTTGACAGGGCATCTGTAATTATTAAAATCACAAAATTAATAATTGTGAAAGTCAAACCTCAGTATGTTGAGTTGACAGTTAGGACTCTTCAGTCCAGCAGCGAGCAGCTTTACTCCTGAATCCTGCAGATGATTGTTACTCAGGTCCAGCTCTCTCAGGTGTGAGAGGTTTGAACTCAGAGCTGATGCCAGATCAGCACAACCTTCCTCTTTCACCAAACAGCCAGACAATCTACAACAACAATAATAATATTAGTGTGCTTAATTTTAGAGATGCTTTAGATCTTATTTCTGGCATTTGGAAACAGCAGTAGGAATGTGGGGTGGGTGTGTGTGTGTGTGTGTGTGTGTGTGTAATGGAGCTGATGAGACGAGAGGCATGCGGATCCATATGCAAGCTTTTATTTACAGGCATGGTCAACACAGGCAAGAGTCGGACACCAGCAAACAGATATGTAGAGGGCAAGACAAAAGAGGAATCCAAAACAAGCAATAATCCAATCGAGGTGCAAACACAGTCCGAATCAGCAAGGCAAAGAGTAAATCCAAGACAGGCTATAAACTTCAGGACAGGCAGAAATCAGACAGGACGAGATAACAGGCTAGGATCAAGACACGGGAAAACAGACTATGAACAAGGCTAGACTCGTGAACTTGGAAGGGCTCCGTAAAGTAGCTATCCCTAGGTGAGCGATAAATGCTGAACATTACTCGGCAGTGAGAGAGAGGAAGTCCATGGTTTATAAAGCGTGTCTCATTGGATGCAGCTGTGTGTGTGTGTAATTGGTAGCAGGTGAGCTTGTGATTAGTGAAATGGAGCATGGGAAATGTAGTCCAGGGTGATGTGTAACAGTCTGTGTGGTGTGAGAGTCAATATAATGGGAGGGC